TTTTTCTTTCCCAGTCCTTGAATGTGCCAGCTGCTGCACGTGTGCCGTGGTTTGGCTGCCCCTTTTATTCAGCCCGTCTGCCTGTGGTTCATATGGGAGTCAGATCAAAGTCGTCGTTGACCTCCACCAGGGGGATGTAGAACTCGGGGATCTCGAAGATGCTGGTGGACTTGTAGGTCGCCGGGTCCAGCTCCTGCAGCTTGAGCTGCCACTCCAGACGCTGCACAGCATTCAGAGCTGCGGCCTCGTGCTGTTGCCTCATCAGAAGACAAGTCTGTGGAGGAGAAACAGAATCAGTGTCGTCTCTGGAATTAAAAAAAAAGAAAATCCCACCAACTCACCTTCAGTTTATCAAACTTGTCGTCCACGTCTTGCAGCCAGGACATAAACTGCCTGGCGTTGAATCGGTCTCTCACTGATGTTTTCCCATCATCCCCCTGTGAACGAGATTGTAGAAATATTACAAAATATTTTTGATATATATATGTATATATATGTATCATATATATATGATATATTTTCAAAATATGATTGGCTCCTGAGGTTCTTACAGTTTAAAGCAATTATGTCTGAGAAATAATTCTTAAAGTTTTTACTTTATTTAAAGGTTTGGAGCACCATTTTGTTAATGCAAACGGATGCAAATGGAGTTTTTAGGTAGACTTTTTCTTTGAGAGTTATAAAAAAAAATCACTCAGAAGTAATTACTCTGCTTTCTAAAAGTTCTCTGTGTCACAAGAAAACAATACTTAAAATACAAGGGGTTAGTGACAGTATAGTAGTAGTGTCAACAGTATAAAAACCTGTTTAAATAGGTATTAAGTATTTAATTTTATAAAGGGACATTCCTGAAAATCTCCAGTCATCAGTGTTGATAAAAGGGATGTAGACAGCTAAAAGCAGAGGATTATTAACAGCAGTCAGTTCCTGTCAAGACCCGTAACATTTAGTTAATTAATATCATGAGTTATGGGAAAAGACACACCCACCAGTCTGACTGCAGGTCATCTGAGCTCTGCCTCTGCACTTCTGCTTTCAATACCTCATCCCTGGATTTCCTCATCATCCTGCCAAAATCCACATCACATTTTCTACTAATGTAGTGAACTGTTTGGAACTTTCAGAACAGCAACAATACTTAAACACACTAGGCCTGTAAACAGTTGGTAGAGGATATGCTTTCATTTAAGAGACATTTGTGGTATTTTATTGTTTAGAAGTGGGGGAAAAAATTCAGTGTATGAGAGCATCTAAACATCTGACTCATTTAGTTAGCATTTCTTCATACCCACTTTCCAGCTGGTTCATCCTGAATTTATCTTCCTCTGAAATGTAGATAACATCTGTCTGAGGTTTACCATCTGTTTTTCCCCTGTAATTTGTTTACTGGAAAAATAAGACTGCACCAAGGGGTTCTTTGTCTTGTTAAAGAAAAATTGGAAGAAACAAATATTTTACATTCCATTTGGAATGACAACAGCTGCAAAAACTAAATATTCTTAAAAATCACATGCAAAAAAAAGGCATGCAACAAAAACATTTTATTTTAAAAAAACAAAAAAAACATGAAATTATAAATATGATGCCAAAGGCTATTAATTTTTATGATTTCAGAAATGTGTTAACAGCTCATTCACAGTTATGGCAGTCACTTTTAAAAGCATCAAAATACCTACTAACTTTGTTTGAACAAATACTTCCTAAATGGCAGTGTTAGCAGTAGAAAAGAAAAAAAAATTCTTGGCATTTTCATATAACGGAAACCAAAACCTTGGCTCATTAAACAAACTGAAGCACAGGAATGAACCATTTTTGTACAACATGTTTCCATACAAACAACACTCCTTTGAAACATCAAATCAAGGCCTGTGATAAACATTCAGGAAGGAAAATCAAAATCCTGCAAACCTTACCCGAAAGGAAAACAGTCGTAAATACTTACTACATCTGCCAAGGAGACACAGCAACGCCTGCTTGTGGAAATATCTTAGGTTAAATGAATTTGTGCAGTTTGCATTATGTAGTGTGTGGACAAACCACCCTTCTAGTCAACTTCCAGTGTACTGCTGTGTTGAAGGTTACCATAAAAGCGATGGAACCCTTTCAGATTGTGCGAGTGTTCAGAGAAGCCCAGTGACGGCTGTCAGTAATTGAGAATCTGCACGTCAAACAGGTCGCACACGCCTTCGTTGTCGTCCAAGTTAAAGTTGTAGTCGATATCTGTAGGAGGAAAGAGTAGACACCGGAGAACTAAGGTAAAACAGATCACAGACAGAAACGTTACACTAACATACCAACAACCTTGCTTGAGTCCTAAATATTATACACTTTGTTATTGATTTGTCATAACATCTATATGATTTAAAGTGACAACCTCATCCTTTATTTATGCAGTTACATGTTCACCTGGACATTAGCGCTGTCTGTGTTTAGCTTTATTACTGGGGACATGCAGGGAATAAACTTTTCTATCATTATGAAAGTGACAGCATTAAGACTTTTGTTTTTCCTCATAAAACCAGACATCAGCATGGGCTGTTTTAGTTTACCTCTAATTTCCAGGAACATAAACAACAAGTAAAAAATGTATCAATAATAACAATAACACTATTGCTCTTTGTTTATCAGTCATAACAGTGACTGAATGGTTTCCAAAATTTTGTCTTTTGTTATTTCACATGATGATACTCTTACCATTAGCAGACATTAACTCATCAATCAGATCAGCGGTCTCTGAAAGAAAACACAAAACACAGTGAATGTTATAACAGAGTGTAGCCCTTGAACTAACAGTGGAACCATGCTGACAGAACAGCTCCTCTCTGATCATTGCTGCTATATTAAATTATAGAACACAACTGTATTCACATCTGGAGCTCACTCATCTTCTTACCAACTCTGTCGTCCTTCATCTGGTCTTCAGCAGAGCTGAGCTTCAGCAAGCTGCTCACATCAAGGACTGATTGAAACTCTGGGTCAGCCAGGACCAGCTGCTGCTCCAGGACGAACACTGGCTGAGTCTCTGTATGCAGGTTAAAACAATAGTTAGGGTACAATGTTATCAAATGATAAAAATTTAAATACAACACACAATTCAACATACTTCAACAAATGCATTGTAACTGTAAATTCTGGAGCTCTGAGGTTGTTTTTCTACATATAAAGGCAGCATAAAAGGATAAGTAATGTTATATCGTCCAGAGATGCCAGCTAAAAATTATATTTAAACAATAAAAAAAACCTTCACTTTTTGCTACCAGCTGTAATTTTTACCTGTTATTTCACACTAATCCATAGATTACTTATCATTAAGTAAAAGTCTACAGTACTACTGTCTACCACTGGAGTTTTTCTGAAAGGACATTCAGAAGTTAATTTTAAAGAAATAGGGCCAAAAATCTTTACAGTGACATCAGTAAAGAGAAGCTGAGTCCACAAAAGAGAAAGATATTTTTGTCAAAAAAGTGGTTTGTTTTGCTCCCTGGTATCCTCAGACACATCAGAAGATTATGCGTCATTAGAAGATCACAAGAACGAAAGTAGTGAACAATGAGGGTGGGCAGGGTTGCTGTATAAAAAGGTCAGAGTATTTAACAGTACATTTTAAAAAAAGGATTAAACATTTGAGAGGATGTTATTTTAAGACAGAGGACTGAAACTCATGTTACTTATTATGCCACTACTAATCTTAGTTTGGATCCATGTTAATCAGCCTGATGTTTACAGTAAGGAAGCAGGATTAAATTAAATTCTGTCCAAAAAAATTGAGTTTGCTTTCAACTAAAATAAGAATAAAAAACACTAGAATCAATACATTGCCCTTTGAATTATAATTGAAAACTGATGATTGCAGGACATGGATTGGCCGACACCTTAAAAAAATGGGTCCATGCTACAATGTTTGTGACAAAGTTACACACGATCTGAGAAGGTAGTCTCAACAAACATCGTTATAATTACATTATATCACTGTTTCAGTAGTAGTTTTGTGTTTTGTTAAAATTCACTTTTACTCTACAAGAGTAACACCTTAAAGAAACGAGTAGCTTCTAGGAATCACTATAAATAGGCGAAGTTTCTGTTCTTACCCATGTGAACATCAGGAGGAGAGGATGACGGCGTCAGCACATCATGTTGCGACAACGCCATCTGGTGGTCTGTGCAGAGGAAGTCCTGGCTGCAGTAGGAAGAGCTGGTGTTGGTGGTAGTGGTGGAGTTCAGGGACACTGACAGAGGGAACATTTGCAGGCTGGCTGGGGTGTGGGGTGGGGTTGGCACCAGACAGATGTCCTCAGTGGGGGGCACAGGGAAGACCACAGGGACCATGGAGTCTGAGTCTCTGTTAATGAGCATCACTTGGATGGGAGCCGAGTGGCTACGGAAGTTCACCTGGTACTTTCTCTGAACACCATGACCCTGTGCAGCACAAATGTTCAAAAGATAATGATCCTGGATCTGCAATATTAAATATAGTGTGTGAGGTTTGTGCTTCTACAGTTACCAACCGTTTCTGGTATTGGAACCTCGAGCTGAGTCCCAGCAGGAGCCATTACTGCAAGAACAGTATCTCCACAGAAGGCATTGCAGACATCTTCATGTGTCACAAATTTGTAAGTGAAGAGGTGTTGAGGAAAAGAGAACTGTTTGAAAATGAGTGGATGGGATGGGAGGGGGAGCGGGGGCACTGGAAGAACTAGACTGTGGGGACTATAAACATCAGGATTAGCAGACAATGAGAATTACATCATTAATCCTCCCTT